CACATGAAAAGGTTGCAGCAAAACAAACTGGATGTTATAAAGAAGCAATTTAGGAAAACTAAGCCTATTGTATTTGTAGTACAGTGAAGCTAAGATACAACACCCAGCAGGCAGGCAAACTTGCTAATATCCGATGAATTAGCATACCTGGTCATGGCACACCGGGTACAGAATATGCAACCAGCATAACGTTTCCACCAGTATTGATAATCTATCGTAACTTTATTATCAAACTACATAACTGCTAAGAATGTGCAACTACTAACATAAGGTGCGATCGGCTTCGAAATCCAATGATTATGAGCAAGCGCGCATATATTTCTACATGTGCCATGTAGATAGAGTGTTTCATCAGGTTCAGTAGGCATGGATCCACAGTTCATTGTTCTGCTTCAACTACCGTAGCTGTGATGTACAAGTTTTGATCTCTGGCTACGCATGATGGTATTAGTGAGCCCAATGGCCCACAAAAACCGAAGTGATGAAACTTTCTGCCGTGGGCAGAGGGATCATCGAGTTGCCCACTCTTGGTTATGTACTTATGCCATTACCAACTATCAGTGCACAAGTACTGCTACGCCCTCACTATGATCCATTGCAACACTATCACCAGGCACATGCATGCTACTGCACCGATTAAACCAAGAGTCGCAAATAGGAAAATCTTTGCTGTGAACCACAGCTATAAGGTGCTTTGAGTCCAGTTTTGTGGGAAAGTTGCATTGCATGATGCACAATACCACATTGAGCGAAATTCTTTTTTTCACATAGCGTGAAGTGTCTCTCGAGAAATGCAATGCACAATGCATAGCACATCGCAGAAAAATCTTGTATTGCACCTGCAGTCTAAAACTGCTTGCCAGCCAGAGCTCTTGAGTCACATGCACCAGCATGCAGGAAGTGATGCCCATCACGTGTCACCCAACCTAGAAGTGAAGCTGGACTCAATTTCCCGTGATACGACCTGTGATGGAGCTGCAACAACCAGCGATGCAAGTTTGCAGTCCAATTATTTGAAACTGGCCTGCTATGTTGCTGAGAATGTACTCAAGGCAACATTTGAGAAATTACCTTTCGAAAAAATGTTCGGTACAAACATGGCCGGATATTGTTTAAACTTTACGGTACTGTGTGAAGAAAACAACTATTTTATTGCATAGACTAAAGGAGCTATCCAGCATTATCCATAATTTTCACGAAATGAAAGAAGGACCCCCCCCCCCCCGATTGATGTCTGTAATATCAATATTTTTTCGAAACGAAACTCCCCTTGACCCACCCACAAACGAAACTTTTTCTCTTCGTGTAAAAGATCGACAATTATGGACCCGGCATTATCGATAATTTTCACGAAATGAAAAGTTTAGTTATGAGTAACTTGTGACCGTCCCCCACCCCCACCTACTCACCCCTCAACGAAAAATAGCTGGAATGGACTAGTGTTTCAGCTATCAATATTTTTCATTACGAAACCCTTCTTGACCCACCCGCCCATGAACGATTTTTTTCTCGTTTTGTGTTAAAGATACTCAATCTGTTAAAGATAGATAATTATGGACGGCCCCTAACGTGCCAAGTTAAAAATGAATGGACCGTAGAAGATTGTTTGTGATATCACACGATCAGAACAGGTGACAACCAACACTACATGGCTGTATACTTGATGTGCTGCATTAACTGGGTGCAACGCAAGGAGTTGTAGCATCTAGGTAGACGACACAGGCGACCGTAAAGCTAAATGACATGGGGTTCGACCCAGGGGTTCCTGTTTCAGCCACCCTTGGGGCACCATTGGGCAGATCTATACACGCGCGTACATGGTATTGCTAACCTGGGCCGTTCTCAGGGTCAGTAGGTCAAGGCCGTGATCGCGGGTTGCACAGATCACGGAGAACCTCCAAATCCTGACCCAAAATTCTATAAAGTATTGTGTAGTCTCCCTACAGTGTAGGTGCTATGACTCCCTAGTATGTACCTGCTGGTAAATAGACAAATTGCAACCAGGCCATAATTTGGATAGAGCAGACGATCCTGTCCTGGACCCTGTTCCACATTCAAAGTATCTAGACTCATATAGTGAGGGAGGAATATTGTGGTACTGACTCCGATTATCATGCGTTAAGAAATTATCAAGTACATTGTATATGTAACTGTAAGTGATAATCACTCAAAGTACGAAGCTAACAGTAATATTCACTGGTTAGAGGGAAAGGCACAAACGGGAAAGGTCTGAAGAAAAATTGACTGTCACCACCAGGATTCGAACCAGGGACCTTCGCTTGAGGCCAGCGATGCTCTAATCACTGAGCTAAGGTGTAGCCGTCATCCCAGCCGAGATCGTTCAACATTTTCTTCAGACTTCGTAACGCACACTAACAACATCAGCTATTAAATGGTATATGTACTCTTTTTCGATTGTACATGCAAGCTCTACCTTGTGATGTTGAGCTCTCTTCGTTTGGTGGGGGTACTCCGATCGTCTAATGTGAACCACAGTCCACCTACAATTCTACATTTGCAACGTTGTCCAATGTGCATCGGCACGCATTGTACATAACTGTTACAGCAGAGTGTAGATTATCCGCACCCCTCGGGCGCACGCTTTCTCCAGGGGGTTCGGATGGGGAAAAATTCGGATAACGGAGCAGTCACACATCCATCTAAGACTTGCACATTCCTTCACGTTTCCATCATTTCTCACATTCTCTTCACAGGAACTAGACACACTCTAGCTCCTCAATATGAAAACTGGCATTTCGAATAAGTGATTGTTCGGAATATCGGCATTCTACTGTACCATAAAGTCGCGGATAAAAGCCGGGCTTATAAGCACATAAGCCGCTTTCTCCATCAGGTTTTAATGCAAACCATGCTCATTATGCACCACTGATATTTTTGCCAGACTTGTATGCCAGGCTTCTACGTGCGACACGCGTAGATCTACCACTGACTACCGGTATGGCGGCAGTTTGACTATGCACCATACATAGCGCATGCACTCTTGACCCACCCAATCCGCGCTTGCATAGAGCAAGGCTTCTACGCGCGACGGGCTTATATGCATTCGACCCGTTTGATTTTCAGGCTTCTATCTGCGATGTGCTTGTATGCAAACCCGGCTTTTATCCGCGACTTCACGTCATTCATATTCACGCTCTGGAACAGGAGATCCTAGTTCGACTCAGACTGCCCTTTCCATAATACGTTTCCCATGTACTCGCAGTTCTTTTATCGGAACATCTTTTCTTCCCAACCTCAAATCCTGTGCAACACCGGTTGGCTTTCCTCAGTTTCCTGAATAGTGTTACCTCTCAATAGAAGCATGAGTGGCCATTCAATATACCGGTATAGTAAAACATGTCCATAATTATCGGAGAAAGGATCGGATGTGGCTAAATAATTTGAAACTGTCCACCTCTCCTCACTGGCTCTTGGCCCACATTTACCCCACCATAGCGAGGACGTTCGTTCTTGGATAGATGCTCTACATCCTCCAGACATCTATCCAAGAACAAACTTCCTCGCTATGGTGTGGTGAATGTGAGCCAAGAGTGCAGTGGTGGACAGTTGCAAATAATATTACTACAATGTGCTAAGCAGAACAGAGGCACTAGCACCTGGGTGGAAACTATTCTGAATTTTGAATGCCAGGGAAGGCTGAAGGATGCCCATGAAACCACTGCCAAAGCAAACACAAATTTGAAAAGCAGTGCATGCATGGTTGCGTTGGGAAAAAGGAGCCAAGGAAAGTGTGTACATATTTTTGTTGAAAGGATGAGAATTCAAAGAAAGCTGGCTGCTTCCTCTATTTCCATGATCGGCCAGTGCCTGCAGCACGAACAGTACATTGTAATACATGTATGTGCATAGACAGACAAATAAACACTAACCTGAGCATGGGTACCGCTTGTATTCGTGGTCAGGAAAGTGAAAGTACGAACGAAGGAGAAGAAGATTGTTGACCATGGCGAACAACTGCATATCCAGAGGGCACACGGCTTGCCAGAATGGGTCGGCTACATCTTCGCTAATTTTCTATCCTAACAACATTCAGCTTCGAGGTCAAGGACGACGGCATTTTTGGAAGGAAATTTCGAATTTTGGAGAAGAAGCTTGCTTTCGGAAAAATGTTCCTTTCACGCAATGCAGCATGCCAGGTCAGGCGTGTGAACCAGGTGAACTGTGTCGGCAGATCCACGTTTACGTTCCAGGCCGACAGTTTTTTGACCAAGCCGTGAATCGCCCTCGCTCTGACTCGCCCGGCTACGAAGGAGTAATTTTACAACTCTTCAGGCCAGCTACAGGTCTCTGATGCAGAGCTGCAAGTGACGGATATCGGTCATTTGCAGCCACTACTAAGAGCCTCCTGGTCGTTGCAATCTGATACATAATATACCTCCAATGTAGGGCTAGGTCTAGGACATGGGCCATGGGAGTCGTAAAATACCCGGGTATTACCCGGGTATTTTACGACTCCCTGCTTTTCACATCAACATTTGAGATGGCCGAGCTAGCTGAGCTCAGCTCGGCCATGAGCGCGGTGCACTTGCCACGTCATAAAATTTTGTTTCGGCCCAAAAACTTGAAAAGGGCCAAAAAAGTGCCAACTCCAACAAAAATGCTCAAAACGGTGCGTCGACGTTGCGACGTACGTGACGTCGACGTACTCGTACGTCACGTCATCACGTCATGGAGTATTTTGATATTTTGATAAACGTCGTTTGTAAAATAATTTTAATGCGATTGTTTATACCAGGGCCGCTAGGGAGTCGTAAACGACTCCCTGGTTTATACATCATCGATGCATCAGATCATTATTATTATCACGAGCACAAAACCAGAAATCCGCGGGAAACTTTGTACATGGTACACCTAGGCTAGTACCTGCTGTACCATCAATGCGCCACCTACAAATACACAAAGACTTTTAATGCATGCACGTGCGCACATGCACTGCACGCGCGCAATGAGCTGAGCATGAGAACAACCAAAACTAACTACCGGTACTAACTACTTACTTACTTGGCTGAAAATGATTTGAAGAAGAATAGTTGTGGGGCTTGTTCGGACATACCGGTATCCCAGTATAGCTACGACTGGTGCAGAAACTACACAAATCTGTGGCCTGACTTCCTCACCCAACCTGAACAGCTGAAACCAGAGCTTTAGTTAGGCCTTTCGTTTTGAGTGGTGTGGTGATAGGGAAACCAATGCCAATGGCCACTGCCCATTGTGGTTCACTGTTGGCCCGACATATTCCGTTCTCATCAGGCCTACGTATGCAGTCCACGAATCTCGTTAAGAAAATAGCCATCGAGGGTAATATTGGTAAGCATAACTGTCTCATATTGATGGGCTAACATTACTCTAACATTACTCTCTCCCCTCAGTTCTTTGCCTGAGTTTTACTCATTCCAATTTTGACTTCTGCTGTCCAGGAGCTGGGAAATCAACGTTCCTTAGCATCCTTCAAAGTAACTTCAACTTCCGGGCTGTCCCAGAACCTATTGCAGACTGGCAGAATGTTGCTTCGGAGGAGGTGAGTTGTTTCATAGCAAGTCAGGCGCGTAGCACCGCCGTTGACGCGTTGGAGGTGATCCGGCCGGAGGGGGGGGGGGGGGGGTCCGGGGCTCTCACCCGGGAAATTTTGAAATTAGAGTGCAAAATCCTGCATTCTGGGCACTTTTGGCATTGTGTTAAAAAAAAGGTGGTCCGGCCGGACCGCCTGCTACGCCCCTGCAAGTTTTCGCAGCGTTGTCGAAAATATGCCCATATGTTTGCATTGTACTGAATGAAATGAGAGTGCAATGTAGTAAAGGATGGCACATGATCCTGCACTACACAGCCAATACCGGCATGGTGGAAAACAACATGATATCACTGAATCAGTAAGCACAATGCACATGTAATTGTGCTGCTGATGAATGACAAAGTATTGGCCTCGCCAGTAAATTTCCACCTCGTGAGAATGGCCCTAGCATCACAAACACTAATCTGCGCACTTGATCCTAGCATTGCTAGTGCAGCAGCAGGGGGGATCGGGTCTACTGTACTCTGAACAATAATTTCTGTGGCATGATCGCTGCACACACACACACACACATTAGGATTTTGGAAATACAGTGGAACCTGGGCCTCTCGGACCGGGCGAAGTGACCTGATTTCCGAGGGGTCTGATTTGTTAAAAATGCTACCCTGTATTCAAGGTATTATAATGTAAGCACGAATACAGGATAGTCATTTTCGGTCTGGAATTTTCCCCTCCATAGCCTTATGTAGGAAATTCGGGACCATGGACAAGTTGTTGGAAAGCGAGGTTCCACTGCATACTTGGAAGAAGCGTTTTGAGTTGATCACAAGATTGTACACATCCTACAGTATGAAATGCTGCCAGTTGCAGGGGCGGCTCCTGGAATTTTTCAGGGGGGGGGGGTTCAAATTTTTTCGAGTGCACAGAATTAAATTTGCTTCAAACTGTTTTCGGTTCGTTCACTACACCGGGAGTTGCAAAATCTTTATTGTCACGGTAGCCCTTGGCCAATAAGACAAGGGTAATGCGTTTAGAGCCTTACAAAGTACAAGCACAGGCAGAAACTAAGGCAAAAGAACACTAATGTTAGTATGTACAAGGAATTACTTCAACTGTTGGTAAGTACGAAAATATTATACAATGCTGGAACTGTGCTGGTGCTGTTCAACTCAAGTGATGTTGATCAGATTCACTGCTGGCCGTGACTGAAGATGATAGCTAGACGTGCTCTACCTGTCAACTACAGGGTCATTCAATACCATTCTTCGTGGATGCAGGTGGCCAAAAGTGGAGGCGACTTCCTCGAAGTTGACAGTGTGGTTGCGATGCACCTGCATCAGTGCCAGAGCTGAGAGGCGATCGGTGCCCATGGTGGACCTGAGGTAGTGCTTCAGGCGCTTCAGGGCACTGTTGCACCGCTCGTTCTCAGCTGCTGACACTGGCAGAGTGCAGGCAATCCTCAGGAGGACGTGGATGTTGGGGAAGACATCGGGATCACACTGCTGCAGCGCTTCGCTGGGAGTAGCAGGTAAGTCGGCACTGTCGATACTTTCCCACTTCATCTTCCACTTGCGGATGTCAATGGCAATGGTGGAGACGCTTGGCAGATCAGCTTCATTGGTCTTCCTCAGTGCCCTGAACGCCTCAGTGACATCAGACTGCGCAGCCATCGCTTTCGGCACCAAGCACAGCACCTGCGGCACACTGTCGCTGTTGGCCGAGAACCGCTCCTTCATGTCCTCGTTGAGGTGGTCCAGGAATGGGATGACCAACGAGCGGCGATAGTACTCTTCAGCACTGTCGTGTTCAACATTCTCTCGGTGACGTTGGCGACCGGCAGTCCGGGGAACTTGAGGCTCTGTGCCGACTGACTCCGCAAGAGTGACTGCTTCCTTGTACCAGTCTTTCATCTCATCATCCTCGCCTCCTCTCACAGCCTGGAGATCCTGCACAGTTCCGTCCACCAAGCTGTAGGCCTTCACCACGTCAATTGCCTTGCGCTTGGCAACATTTTGCTTGAATGCATCGAAGGCGATCTGGGCGTCGGTGTGGTATTTGCGGTCATCATGACCACTGCAAACGTCTGAGACTTTCGTCCATCGCCGGAATGGTGTGCGTACCAAAACACCACGATGCACAGCCTCCGGCGCAAACAGGACACACGGTAAACAGTAACCTCCATCTTGGCTCTTTGAATACACTAGCCACTTGTAGGTCGTCAGCCACGCAGCTCGGAACGACCTGTTTGAGCCATTCATCACTGTCTTCGGGAAGTTGAAACTCTGGCCAGGCACAACATGTCCATTGATCAGCGCTATCTTGTCAGCGGAAGACAAGGTCAGACAAGATGTACCTGAGTCGAGCAGCGCCCCACATCGTCCATCACTGGATTCGTCGACTCTGTCTCATTTTCAGCACTCGCAGCGCTCGTTGCAGCGCTAGCAGCAGCGAGCCTAGTTCCTGGGGACGAAACATCGTCTACTACTACTGGCTGCTGTGCATCTTCTCCGACAGTGACGACTTCAGGTTGGTCCGACTCCGTGGCCGTAACAGTGCAATCCGTGACTGCAGCATTTTCCGAACTGACGGAAGGCGAAGTTCTCTGACTGTCCTCCGGCTGGGACTCCGTGTCGTCACATTCGCGCCGTACACGACGGAACGAAGCCAAGCTCAATGGCAACTGATCGGCCGCTCGCCTCTTTGGCAGACGTCGCGACATGGCAAACTACACGACAAACACAAACATTATCTTCGTACTGCGACGGAGGAAACCTACAGTCCAGCCAGCGCGAAATAAAACAAAACGACAAGGAAGGTAAGGAGACAAGTGGCAGTTTTTCCACCTTTTGCTCCACCACTTGAACTGTCGATCGTTTCAAGTCATATGATACGTGTACAGACACTTCGATTCGAACGGTACGCGTACAACAGTCCCGACCACTGCATGCAGTGACCTGCACTGCCTGTACGTGACTACTGCATGCAGGATGCATGCCAGTGAAGTCTACTGGCTACGCGGTACGCTACACTTCGCTGGCTGTGCACGTGGATACCACAAAAAAATCGACTGGACCCATGGTCGAAATTATTTTAGGGGGTTCGTCCGAACCCCCTGAGTTGCAGACTCGGCTAGAAAGTATCATGTCAGGCAAATCTGTACAATAACCTGGCTACATTGTACATCCCTAGGACTTGCCCTTGCGTACGCCATTTCTATGGGAATAGTGTTGCAAGTATATCACCTTGACCCCTTTTCCCTTTCATCCCATCCACCCTTCCAGGAAACTCACCTGATAGGTACCCATTTACTTTTGGAGAATCCTTCAAATGAATGCAGGAATGAATATGACTGTATTGTTGTGTGTGCCTCATTGTATCCTGTACAGGCTGGCAAACCCACAGAAAACCTTCTCGACCTTTTCTACAAAGATCCGAAGCGATGGGCGTACACGTTTCAGGTATTATGAAGTCCGAGCTCATTGCATGCATACCTTTGATCTGGACCCGATTTAGGCTTTTTCTGTGTCATTGCAAACTGTGGGTTGCGGATCTGGACCCAATAATGAATGGTAGATCTAGACCAGACCTTGGGGATGGACGTTATCCAGTGCACAGTGTAAGTTTGGAATCAGGCAGTCCTACTGGTCCGCGGTCTAGTAACCCTTTTAATGGACTCTCAAAAGTCAAGTGTCAAATTCGACAGGAAGCGTGTGTTCCACTTAACTGTTAGGAACAACCAACTTCATTTACCACTACATACCGCCGAAGTCGCTACTTGCATTTCCGAGAGCACGGTTACCATGGTTACTGACTCAATACTGAGATACGTCGGTGATTTTGCTACCCAGCTTGTATTGTTGCGTGTGAGCAAACCTGCTTTTTTGGCTCATCTGACATTTGTGTTTATTGCAACCTCCATATCTACCATCACATCAACCCCCTACCCAATAATGCACGGAATTAGATCTGTAAAATAATAATAAAGAATGGATGTCACATACACATAGAACGGAATGGGGGAAAAGGTGCAAGTGTGAGGAACCTACCAAGCGTGTAGTGTGGTGCGACAAAAAACAGACTGGCAACAAAAATGGACATAACTAACGAGTTGTTGACGACCTACCTAACAGCCTACGTGTGAAGATAATCTGCTTCTGCTGACGTAAGTTAGGTCTGTTGCCAGTCTGTTTTAGTCGCACCACACTACACGCTTGGTAGGTTACTCACACTTGCACCCTTTTCCCCATTTCCTTCTATGTGTATGTGACATCCATTCTTTATTATTATTTTAACTCTTCTTCCTTGCGCTGTTTCTATCACCTTCCTACTGTAATTAGATCTCTGGTAACATTCAAAATATCTATTTTGCTTGTACGTTCTTCACTCTTCTTTCTTTAGATTTTGACGAAGATGTTCATGATGACCTCAAACACATGTACTGCTTCCGCTTTCTTAGCATTACTAATGGATGTGTTTGTTGCGGGTTTCACGTATTGCTGCATGTTGCCTACTGCTATCTGTAGACATATGCATGTTTGACACGAGTTCGCTCACAGCTAGCACCGCCGCCGGCAGACCTCATGCAGCTCTCCAACCCAGTTCTGTTTTACGAGCGCTCAGTTTACAGTGATCGGTAAGCGTGTAGTGCAATGTAGTTGAATGTACACTAGCTGTTGCTGTTCGGACCTGGTCTGACACTACTCGAAGTATCTTGCTAAACGTAATCTTTGTATATGGGATTCTTTCCAGCAGAGCAGTGCTACTGGTAGCGTTTCACTCTGCTTCATTCCTGTCATGTTTTCCATACATCCATAGTTGTCACTAGCATCTACTGTAACTGGGTGTTCCACTTCAAGCACTGGCGATAGAAGTATTGAATGTAATTTGGAAAGTGACCTTGTTGTTGTGGAGAGGGCAATGTACAGTTTATCCTATTGTTACATGACGTAAACTGCGCAAATTCAACCGTCCGCAATGCCATAGAAATTTGTTACACACAGCAGGGACTCTAGGGAGAGAGGGATACCGTATTTCCCCGTAAGTTAGTACGTACTAACTTTCGAACTTAGCAGCCACATGAGTACTAACTTTCGGGGGTGGTACTATCTTTCGGGGAGTACTTTTTTATCGGGGGTAAATGACACGCAGTGGGAAGCCTGCGCAACTTTAGTGTCCGTGCATATGATGTATGTACTGTACGGTGTCTGTACATGTAGGACGGGTACGAACTTACTATCTTTCGGGGGGAACTGTCTTTCGGGGTGATAACCTCGGCAGTGGAAAGTGTATTTTTTATAGGGGGGTACTAAGTCATTTGGGAGAACTAACTTACGGGGAAATACGGTATTCAAGTTACAACTAGGGGTCAAACGGGTGTACCTTTAACCCTTTCCGTGCTAACGACGTCCATAGACGTCATGCGCGCTGTACGCCAAACGACTAATGACGTCCATAGACGTCATGAGATTTGCGCAGTACAGCGCAGTGCATAGATCAGTGTACAAACGTTCGTAACTCCGTAAAAAATAAGTCTATCGCGACAATCGATACACCGTTGGAAAGGTATTGAGCTCAGCTTTCCAGCAATATAGAGTTCTTTGCGATAGGAGAAAGATTGACGGAGCGGCGACGGAGTGAACACGAAATTCACGGCACTGAGCGATCGTGAATTTTTTTGTTCATTCGTTTGCAGTTTTCTGTTGCGTGCCAGGGGATTTCCCTTCCGCACAGCGCATGCGTAATGGATACCAGCGGAAGCACGTGGATGTCAGCTTTGCCGCGCAGTTTGAATCGTGAAAATCGGCTGACCTGGAGCAAGAAACTGAAAAAGAATGTGAGATCGAGTTCCTGTGCCTTTCCGAGGCATCGTGAGGTAGCTTCAAGAGGACGTAGAAGTTGCACCGCTGTGCATATTGAGTTGAGAGATACCAGGATGGATGTTTGCTTGGTCCTGATCTTTTCAACAGGCCCAGGATGATGAAAATCCACTAAGCTGAATTGAGAGAAAAATTCGTTCAGACCTGAACGCGAAAACGACACCAGGAGAGTCAGTGCGCTGGAAATGCAGTTTGCTGGAGTAAAAGGGGCCAGCATGGAAAGGGTTAACTAACGAACGGGTAATTTTCTTAACGGGCGGGTTAACGGGTACCCTTTAGCAGCCATGTTTTAATTTTTGCGCAATTTCCATATAAACCATGATAGTAATTTATCTGTTCTCAGGTTGCATTTTGATATCACATTGTGATTCGCCAATTGATTTGAGTCTGATAGTTGCAGAGATCTACTAGGTGCGAAAATGCAACAACAATGCAGGCATGCAGCTTGGAGTTGTAAATAATTGACTCCCGCCTGGAATGCACAATTCCAGCAGTGTTGTTTCGTACTGACCTGATCATCGAAATCCAAACGGGTACCCTTTTACTAACGGTACCTGGGATTAACGGGCGGGTACCCGGAACACCCCTTTGACCCCTAGTTACAACTCTGAGTTTCACGCTCTCGCCAATCTTCAGGTAACTGTAGACATTTGTTATGCATCCCTGCAGCACACATGTACGTACTTCTTGAGGTGTGCTTGATGCGCCGAAAAATGAAACGTGGAATCGAATACTAGTAGCTTTTGAGTTTTGACTATGTGGCGACTTCATTGGTTGTTTTTATCGTTTTCGTTTATACTGTAAGACAATTTGTTATCTTCAAAACGATGTACAGTTGAACACTCCTATTTAGGCAGGCAGGCACAGTGGGTAGGTCTAAGACCATGATTGAGAAACGAGAGGTACCAGGTTCAAGTCCTGCTTGGAAGCGGAAGGATTTTTCCAACCGTGCTGCGACCCACAGTTAATTGGGAACTCGTGGCCTGGCATGAGTAATACATGGATGTGGCAAATGGGATTGAGGCCTTTGGCCTCTGGTTGGTGGATCTGATCTATCCCCCACCGTTTAGGAGCCGCATCTGACGCCTGATCATGGGGTGGTGGCGTCCCACGGAAGCGGAAAGGTGGTTCTTGACCAGGGAGTTGTACGACTCCTTGTTCTTGACGAACCCGTCGAATTTCTTTATATTTATTTATTTAGGGGTCGTCGCAAAAGTTTTTTGTCGTCCCTGAAACGAACATGATTCATTTGGGGGGGGAGGGGGTGCGAGCCAAAATCACAAGTCGACCGACACTGTACATATGACATGTACATGCATGCGATTTTCGTCGTCCAGCATAGCAAGCTGTGTTCGTTTCAGAGGGAGGGGAGGGGGTCCAAGTACCAAATGAACGATGTTCGTTTCAGGGACGACAGAAAACTTTTGCCACGACCCCTTAGTACATTGTCGTTTGCCATCCAGAATTCGTTAAAATTTCACGTCACTAACCAATGAAATTATGGAGATTGTTACTGCCTCAAGCGAATGAATACTTTATGAGTTGGGGCTCTCCGTGTACTAGTTTGTACATGAAGTGTGTAGGTTACAGTGAGGGCTGTGTCCCACCAGCCTGTGTGGATTCACAGGAAGCGTGAGTTTCGAAGTCTGAAGAAAATGTTAATTAAGCGGTCACTGTTTGGATGATGACTACACCATAGCTTAGTGGTAGAGCATCACCAGCCATAAGTGAGGGTCCCTGGTTCGAGTCCTGGTGGTGACAGTCAATATTTTCTTAAGACTTATTTTATTTGCACCTTTCCCTCAAAGTGACTCAAACTAATGAATATCTTACAGTAATCCATAGGCTTGTGTGCATGTCTGTGTGCTTGGTCAGGTATTGTTTTATGGACAATTGTTACAAGTCTGGACTTATCAATGAGATGGAATGGCGACTATACTGCGACTGGCATACACACTTATTAGGTGCATTGGGCGGCCTACACATTGATGGCATTGTGTATCTCAGAGTGAAACCAGAGGTAAGCGCTGTCCAAAGATGATGCTTGTGGAGAAACGTCTCTTATTGTGGCTCGCACTTGACAGTGTTGTGTGCGTGTGTGTGTGTGTGTGTTGTGTGTGTCCCAGATGGTGTAGTGGTATGTGTAGTCGATTTCCAATCGAGAGGTTGCGGGTTCAATTCCCGACGATTATGGTCGCACATGTCTTTCTTCTCATTTTCATTCTCCTAGCTCTTCTTTCATTCTCCTGCGTGGTTACCAACAGCCAGTGTATGCCAGAGTATGTAGTGTGGCGTGTGTGTGTAAAAAAAAGGAAAAAAAGGATTCACTGGCCAGAAAAAGCCACTTCAATCAGCTGCTGTGTGGTGGATACCAGGCTAAAGTTAGTGGCGGTCAATTCATCAGCCTTGCAAGCTGTTGAATGGTGTATTCCCAGCACAAGTTGCTATGTCTAACATAGCTGTTCACTATCATCGCTTCCGCGATGGGCAGGTCTGAGGTGCTGTGTGTGTGGTGTGTGTGTGCGTGTGTGTGCGTGTGTGTGTGTGTGTGTACCCCATGTGGTGCAGTGGTATGTGCAGCGATTTCCAATCGATAGGTTGCGGGTTCGATTCCCGACGATTATGGTCACACACGTCTTTCTTCTCTTTCTCAGACTCCTCCTGACTTTTCTTTCATTCTCCTGGGTGGTTACCAACAGCCAGTGCATGCCAGAGAGTGTGGTGTGATGTGTGTGTGCGGGAAAAAAATGAAAGGACCAAAAAGTAGGGATTCACTGGCCAGAAAATCCACTTCATAGCTGTGTGGTGTAGACCAGGCTGAATAGTGGCGGTCAATTCTTCAGCCTTGCAAGCTTTTGAATGGTGCAATCCCAGCACAAGTTGCTATGGCTTCTGCTATAGCATCGCTATCATCGCGATGGGCGTCCAATGGTCCAATGGTGTGTGTGTGTGAAAATGAAAAGACCAAAAATAGGGTTTCACTGGCCAGAAAATATCACTTCAAATAGCTGTATGGTGTAGACCAGGCTGAATAGTGACGGTCAATTCTTTAGCCTTGCAAGCTGTTGAATGGTGCAATCCCAGCACAAGTTGCTATGGCTTCTGCCGTAGCATTGCTATCATCGCCTCCGGCGATGGGCGTCAAAAGGTCAAAAGGTGGGTGGGTGTCTGTGTGTGTATGTGTGTGCGTGTCTGTGTGTGTGTGTCTCTGTGTGTGTCTCTGTGTGTGTCTCTGTGTGTGTCTCTGTGTGTGTCTCTGTGTGTCTCTGTGTGTGTGTGTGTGTGTGTGTGTGTGTGTGTAGTACTCTGTAAGTAAGAAATGCCACTGCGAAAAGAAGATTTCCTTTGCAGGGGCGTCGCACACGGTACGGTCACTACGGTATTGACCGTACCACTTTTTGCCCCAGATCTGCAGATACCGCGTGAATCAACAAAATACAGATCTGGGATCTAAAATTCCAAAATTTTCGGCTCAGCCACCACACCACCCCCCCCCCCCCCACGAGTAAATTGTACTTCAGATGGCTGACCGTACCACACTAAAATACCTTCCGACGCCCCTGCTTTGGATATTGACCGCTAGGCACAAACTCCAGTCAGCCAATTTATGCTGATCTTGGTTGTGCACAACGACACATGCTTTCCAGGGGCGTCGGAAGGTAATTTAGTGTGGTGCGGTCAGCCATCTGAAGTACAATTGACTCGTGGGGGAGGGGTGGAGATTTAGAGCCCAAATCAGTGCGTTTTATCGATTCACAGGGTACTTGGGGCAAATAGTGGTGCGGTCAATACCGTAGTGACCGCACCGTGTCCGACGCCCCTGCTTTCTTATTGCTGTTGGAAAGCGGAACCTCTTTCTGTGACACAGTTGCACACTGCGCTACTGTCAATGGTCACTCCTTACTCATACCATTTAAGCTGTGTTTGTTTGGTTAGGTCCAGATTCAGATCCACTCAATCCGCAACGCACGTTTGTACATGTTTGGCGGATATCAATCATTTGTTTAACCATGTAGTACACATACCGGTACGCCTTAAAGGGGAAGTTAAGGCAAAAATTAAAATTTCACCAGTTGTAGTCTTCGGGGTGCTGAGTCGAATGGTCGTGGTCCGAGGAAGCTGAGACGCTCCCTTCCTACTTGAATCCCAATCGAACTCGCGCACTTCCACCGAAACTGGGTGACTGCGCCCTACTAGATGGGGATTTGTATGCAAAATGTCACTAAAAGCGCCATTTCGTTCTTATAAAAGCACGGATGACCGCGATTGGCCCATATGTTGTAGTCTTTTGGACGCTGAGTCGACTGGGTTTGGTCCGAAAAGGCTGCGATGCGGCGTTCCTCCTTTATTCCCAATCGAACATGGTTGAAGAAGCGGTCACGTGCTCCTGCGTACACCAGTCACCTGGTCACCGTGCCTGCAGGGTACAACTTACTAGCCTGTTTGACCTTTTTTGGGTGCAGTCCTGTCACTCGAGTTGAACCTTGGTGTGAAAGTTGTCACCTGCTGGCGTGGTGACCAGGTGATTTGGGCACCCAGGACCACGTGACCGCTTCTTCAACCATGTTCGATTGGGAATAAAGGAGTAACGCTGCATCGCAGCCTTTTCGGACCAAAACCAGTCGACTCAGCGTCCAAAAGACTACAACATATGGGCCAATCGCGGTCATCCGTGCTTTTATAAGAACGAAATGGCGCTTTTAGTGACATTTTGCATACAAATCCCCATCTAGTAGGGCGCAGTCACCCAGTTTCGGTGGAAGTGCGCGAGTTCGATTGGGATTCAAGTAGGAAGGGAGCGTCTCAGCTTCCTCGGACCAAGACCATTCGACTCAGCACCCCGAAGACTACAACTGGTGAAATTTTAATTTTTGCCTTAACTTCCCCTTTAACAGAGGTTGCACCATGCAAATGTCTGATGAGTACGAACCCTGGTTAGTGGTGCATGTATGACGCTTTGATTGTCATTTTTCTACGTCAACAATGTCATGGTAGTGGTGTAAAGAAACTTGATCGATTGATTCTGAGGGATCCAGTGGATCTGGCGTCTGGAGTTAGATCCGCATATTCATTTGTCCGTATATGTGTGTGTGTGTCCGTATGTGTGTGTGTGTGTGTGTGTGTGTGTGTGTGTGTGTGTGTGTGTGTATGTGTGTCTGTATGTGTGTGTGTGTATGTGTGTATGTCTGTGTGTATGTCTGTGTGTCTGTGTGTATGTATGTCTGTGTATGCCTGTGTGTCTGTGTGTGTGTTAAAGGTGTGTATGGAGCGTCTGAAACACCGCAATCGCTCGGAGGTGAGTCTCCATGGTTTTGCTGCAATGGTCTCATTACAATGGCCCGCACTACCAACTGTGATGCCTCTTCTATGGGCCAGCTACTTGGCACGTTGCCTGCATTTATCATGCAGCTACATTCTCACTGTCAGGAAAATCAAAAACTACACTTTCCCTGTAGCTTGAGACTAACTGTCGGACGGAACTCGAGTTCATGCACCCAGATTTTAGGGATTTAACAAATCTACTTTGTAACAAAAGCTGATGAACATGCATGAGAGATTGCAGATTTTGAATATAAGAGTTCTAGTACAGTGCAATCAAGAGCACGTAAACAAGAGTGTGCAACTCCCAGAAAATCATCCCACAGCAGAGTTTTTTTGTTTGTTTAGGTCACAGTGACTCTCACCTTTGCTGCACCCCATGAGCTCACACTGGTTCACATGGTCATTTTACCGTATCACCAAGATAGTAGACACCCTTAGCAAACAACGTTATGTTGTAACGGTATTACCGTAAGGGGGGAAATACCGTGATTTGGGCTCGACCTTCAGCAAGATGCACGCTATTTTTAGTACGCTGTTGCCACGAGAATAGCTTTTACTTCGCGCAGTACAACCATTTATGTCACCATATACGCGATACAAGGTGAAATGCGTACGGACTATGCAATATTTGGCGAAGAAACGTACCGTTGGTCACAACGATAAATCAGCCCCCATAACGTGTTTACGCTGCAGCTTCAACGCTATTTGGGTGATCAAGGTACGAATAGCGTTACCGTTGTTTGCTAAGGGTGTCTAGTTTCTGTTTCGCGTTGCTATTTGTCCTACAAAAGGTGAAAACTCTCGCGAATTTCCTGTCCCGCATCACCTTAGTGATGCGGTGATTTAGCGCTTAACCTTAACATACGGTATGACAGGTTTTCTATGATTCAGAATTACCTAAACCAAGAGGACATGAAAACCAGAGTGTGCAGCTTGGGGCTTTTTCTACTATGGGTGTCTGTCACGGCGGAATTACGTGATTACATCATAATTGGCGCAGATCTGAGGCGGGAAATGGCATAGTGCGTACAACTGAGCTGCAGTTGTGCAGAAAGAGACCTGCTTGAATCCTGCTTGTACGCACTACATCACTAAAATGATGTAATCACGGAATCCCGCTGTGATAGCAACCCATCCGAGCTGCACACTCTGGTTTTCATGTACTCTGGCCTAAACAAACAAAAACTTTTAAAAGCTACGCCGTGGGATCGGCATAGATGCGGATCTGCACACTCTGGACAATATGTACTCTCGGTACACTGTGTGATGCAGTCCAGTTAGTACACGGAGGCAAAGCGCGGTACACCGTCCCATATTGCAGTTGCATACAAGTACAATCATACTCTTGGTTATGGACTCTTGACATTGCCTTTTGTATTATGCAGCCCGGCTAGCTCAGTCGGTAGAGCATGAGACTCTTAATCTCAGGGTCGTGGGTTCGAGCCCCACGTTGGGCGCAGTCTTTTTTTCTTTTCTTCCGAAATGATCTTTCTGTTGCCAAGAGCACCAGCAACTACGTTACGTAACACCAAGAGTGTGCAACTTGACGATCTCTCAGCCCACTGCGGGATTTTTTCAAGTCTTTTGCAATCAGTTGACCCAGTGATGCCGTCATGCGTAGCCATAGATCAAAAGTGCAAACGAAGATGTAGCTGTGATTGCAGGTACAGAAATCTAAGCAGGAAAGCAGACAGTAGATCCATGTGTCCTGAACCTGATGAACTGACACCGTATCCACATGATAAGCGGGGAAAGGTATAAGTTCTTCAACATGCTTCTGCCAAATGAATGACGCAATAAAACATTCTGCTGTGGGCGGGTCCATTTCCCATTCAGAATTTGGAGTTGCCTACCCCCAAATCCTTCTTCGCGGCTGTTTTGTCTAAAAATAGATTTGCCGAGATTTGCTGCCATAATGGTCGACATGCATGAAAGCCTTCATTCAAATTGCAATGACATCATGCATTTTGCTTTTTTCCACGGAAACGACCAGGTGACGACCAGCTATTTGACAAATGTAGTACCTATCATGCCCGTATAGCGCTGCTACCCACTGGTTAATCCCAGTTTTATGCAACACATTTCGTTGAAGCCAAGCGGTGGACCTTTTCTTGAAGTCACCTGTGGAAATGCTAAGGGTGTGTGTGTGTGTGTGTGCATGTGCGTATGTGGGTGTGGGTGTGGGTGTAAATCCACATGGGTTCTTTCATACTACCGTATTATCTCTAATATAAGCACAGTCTCCAATAATAGCACGTCTCCAATAATAGAACACCTTGGGGCGGCATTCAAAAAATAAAGTGCTCAGTCTCCATTATAAGCACACTGTGTAAATTCATTATCTGTACCGGCGAAAAAAACCCTGAAATGTGTGTGTCTGACATGAACACTGTGTAAATTCATTATCTGTACCGGCGAAAAAAACCCTGAAATGTGTGTGTCTGACATGAACTTGGCATGGCAACATGCCTCTGAAATGAGGTTGAAATAATAATGGAACAGTCTCCAATAAAGGAACGTCTCCATTAAAGGGGAAGTTAAGGCAAAAATCAAAATTTCACCAGTTGTAGTCTTCGAGGTGCTGAGTCGAATGGTCGTGGTCCGAGGAAGCTGAGACGCTCCCTTCCTACTTTAATCCCAATCGAACTCGCGCACTTCCACCGAAACTGGGTGACTGCGCCCTATTAGATGGGGATTTGTATGCAAAATATCACTAAAAGCACCATTTCGTTCTTATAAAAGCATGGATGACCGCGATTGGCCCATATGTTGTATTCTTTTGGACGCTGAGTCGATTGGTTTTGGTTCGAAAAGGCTGCGATGCAGCGTTCCTTCTTTATTCCCAATCGAACATGGTTGAACAAGCGGTCACGTGCTCCTGCGTACACCAGTCACCTGGTCACCGTGCCTGCAGGGTACAGCTTACTAGCCTGTTTGACCTTTTTTGGGTGCAGTCCTGTCACTCGAGTTGAACTCGAGTTGAACCTTGGTGTGAAAGTTGTCGCCTGCTGGCGTGGTGACCAGGTGATTTGGGCACCCAGGAGCACGTGACCGCTTGTTCAACCATGTTCGATTGGGAATAAAGCAGGAACGCTGCATCGCAGCCTTTTCGGACCAAAACCAGTCGACGCAGCGTCCAAAAGACTACAACATATGGGCCAATCGCGGTCATCCGTGCTTTTATAAGAACGAAATGGCGCTTTTGGTGACATTTTGCATACAAATCCCCATTTAGTAGGGCGCAGTCACCCAGTTTCGGTGGAAGTGCGCGAGTTCGATTGGGATTCAAGTAGGAAGGGAGCGTCTCAGCTTTCTCGGACCAAGACCATTCAACTCGGCACCCCGAAGACTACAACTGGTGAAATTTTGATTTTTGCCTTAACTTCCCCTTTAATAGCACGGGGCGGAGGTACATTGAAAAAATAAAGGACCGTGCTTATATTAGAGATAATACGGTAGCTTAATTTCTTCTTTCTTCTTTCCGCTTGTGTTGTTCTCTCCTTGCAGGAATCAACTGTTGGTCTCGATTATCTCAGTAGTATCCACGAGCAACACGAGAAGTGGTTGATGCGCAAGGAGACTAAGTAAGAGTCTTCAAACTCCAAACCTTGTTATTACTTCTATGGGAATTGGAGAACTTGAAATCCATTGTAATCAGTCCGGGAATTGACCAGCCAGAAAAGTGAGAAAAAGATGCCAACCCCACCCGAACTCAAACCTAAGACCTTGCTTGTCATGAGCAATACTCTAACCATCTGAGCTATGGGACAAGGTGGAACCTGGAAGACGCTGACGATGTTTCATTCCCCAGGCAGCTCACAACACGTGCCACACGTACTGATGGCGCTTGTGTCTCCCTCCCGGGGGACCAACCACGGCCAGCGCCTTCTAGGTTCAGCCTGGTCCCATAGCTCAGATGGTTAGAGCATTGCTCATGACAAGCAAGGTCGCAGGTTCGAGTCTTGGTGGGGTTGGTATTTTGTTTCGCGCTTCTGGCAGTCAACTTCCCTGACAGATTATATTGAGTTCTCCCATTGCCATACACTTTCATACTGACTAGCTACAAAATCCCAGACCCTTGACAAGACATGCAGAATCCCTGGATTTCTCTCAAAATCCCTGGATGGTACAAAACACGTGAAAAAAGAGCTTTTCCCTCCCAAAAAAGCGTTCGACAGCACAGGACGAATGATAATATCACCAGAATCAGGAAACAAGCAAGTACGATGAAACCAAACGCAAAGAAGGAGACTGCATTAACATTAATATTTTGTGAAAACCAACAATCGGGACTTTTAAAACTAAAGTAACACTACCGACCAATCTCATTATCCAGAGTATCCAGAGTATCCAGAGTCTCCAGAGTATCCAGAGTCTCCAGAGTATCCAGAGTCTCGCTGGATCTGTGCCAAACTCTCCCACCTTTTTGGCCGAGTGCTTAAAATAGTAGAATACATCTACTAGCAGATCGCCTACGGAGACAGAAGACAGTTCAGAGCATCAGCTTTACATGTAGTTGCCGGCAAAGAAGCAATAATGACAATGATGACAATACAAGAGGCCGTTTCCAATGACAATGATGTCACAGTTCACATGCTTCGTGAGTTGGCGATGGTGGAGGGTCGGGTTCCCCTGCCGTGATTGGTGCTGCACCGAGCTAGTTTTGTGTGAAAGTATAACTATTATTATTATTATTATTCTTATATCTATACATCAAGTATTACAAAATAATTGAGAGGCTTTGAATCGTTTTTATCAAAATCAAAATATTTGCCGGGTTGGAACGTGGGATCAAAAAATGACAATGACAATGATGAATGTTGAGCGTGGTGCCTTTGCACCTTTGGTGTTTTCCGTAAATGGGGCTGCTGCGCCGGCATCCACGGCCTTCCTCAGGCGCCTTTGCCTCCTTACATCTTAATCTTCGGGAGGTAGCTATTCGTCGTTGATGAGTTACTAAAACTTACTATCGCTGTCGGGTGTCTTTCGCGCTGTTACGTTCCGCTGTGTTGTGTGTCAGGGGTGCTCGGTCGGCCCGTCACCGTCCAGTTCACATGCTTCGTGAGTTGGCGATGGTGGAGGGTCGGGTTCCCCTGCCGTGATTGGTGCTGCACCGAGCTAGTTTTGTGTGAAAGTATAACTATTATTCTTATTCTTATATCTATACATCAAGTATTACAAAATAATTGTATTTTAATTTTAAAAAAATGACAATGATGACAATGATGGGTGTCTCTGTTATTTCTATCTCAGCGATTGCTGTCATGCTAATTTCTTTTAGTTCTGAGACCAACCAACTCTGGGCTCGTTTCCTTGTCCAGCGGCAAGCGATAATCAGAATTCCTATCTGCCAGGTGCTGGTGAACACTCAGCAGGAAAACAATGCACGATTTCTTGAGAGCAAAGGAGAAACTTCTTGAAGTAAAGCAAAATTTGAACTGGCGATCTTGCACGAGCGCGCCCCAGTCAAAGTGATGCCGTGACCGTTGGAAACACGACAAGCGAAGGCGACGCGACTTTTGTTTGTCACCACTTGGCCACTAAGTGTAACTACGCATTTTCAGGCAGCGTGACGTAGGCACTTCGACAGCCTATCCTCCCTGATGCGACCCGGGGTGCGCCTAAAGCGCCTACGTCGCTTCCGTGCAGGCTGCCGCGTACGCGATCAGCAGCCTGCTGCTAACCCTGCCGCATTGAGCACCTCTAGTCACTGTGATCCCGTAGACAGCACACTGGCCTGCCAAATATGCGACTGGCCTGAGGACAGCTCCATGCCGTGCGACAAGGGCGCCCAGCTCAGGTTGAACGCGGCAGTGGTGTGAGCTGGGCGAAGTGAGGGTCAGTGATACCGTAACTACAGTTTCCTCCTCCGGGCATTGGAGGCGAGTCCCTGGGGTTTTCTGGAAAAACCTGGATCAGACGAATTGTGACTTTTCCGGGAGTTTGCTTGAAATCCCCAGGATCCTGGGAGCATTGTTGATTTCTCGGGATTTTCCCCGGGAAAACCGGGAGGGTTTGGCCTGTATGCACTTTTAAAAGGTAGCTTGCGACAGTTATTACCATTTAGGCACCCAAACCAAAGGTTGTGAGTTCTCTGTTGTGTTTTACTGCTGGGTGTATGTAGGATTTCACCAGTTTTGAAGAATGTGCCCGTGTTTGTTCTGGAAAGTGACCAGGAGTTCCAAACTGACCATGACCGACAAGTGGAAATGGTTGGAGAGGTAAGCAGCTTTGTGTTTGCGTGTGTGTGTGTGTGTGTGTGTTCATGGTGTGTGTGGGGGGGGGGGGGGTGTCATATCTCCAAGTGAATGATTGTTTCATTGATGCACATGCACATACGGCTATCGGAATGTTAGTGAGTCTCAGGCCACGAGATAGCCTGATTAAAAAATCTTGAGAATGGGCTTACTGTCAGAGCAAGGTGTTCGTGACCAGACACACATGTACACTTGCGCAAATACTAAATACGCTCATGTATTTAATAGAGCATTGTTGACCTGGGCTAGCCACGGACATCCTATGTCAAAAAAGTGATATTGTCCGACTTTGGGCAGAGGAACCAAATTCTAAGTTAAACAAGGGCTTATTGCATGTGGTTAGGGGCCGTCCAAGGTTACCAATACCGTAAAGTACCGCCAGAGCGCCCCACCATCTCGTCCTTTCGTGGCCGCCTTGTGGAGGTGGATTCCTGTCTGTAGGTCATACGACACGGACCTTGTACAAACATTGCACATTGTGCAGTCAATCCGTACCCAGTTTACCTTCGAGCTCCACATAAAAGCATACCAAGTGTGACCTTAGTACACGAAGGTTCTCACATCGTACAAACTTAGTAGCATTCTGCCATACGATTTTCTTCCCTTGGCTGTAAAATCAAGGTGGGGCGCTCTCGCGAGACGGGGCACTCTGGCGGTACTTTACGGTAGTATTTTCAAAAAGAAATGTTTTCGTTTGGGGGTGGGTTGGTTTTAGGAGTTTAGTTTTGAACATAATTATTGAATGTACATGGAGAATGCCCCGTTATTTCTGGATGCCGAAGATTGAAATCACTATTTTGGTGGATTGTGTTTTACCTGTAGAAAGGGTGGGTGGGGGTTGAAAAATACTAAAACTCTTCGTTTCGCAAGAACAATCGATAACCCCGGAATGGTTGGAGAGGTAAGCAGCTTGGGGTGTATACAACTTGTTTGCTTTTTGCCAGTGCATACCATGTCCAATACTTACTCTTGCTGTGCCGTGTACCTACACGACTGTAGTACACTGAACAGTATATGTACATGCAACCCAAAGTGTGTAGCTCGAATGGGTTGCTGTCACGGCAAAATTCCTGGATTGCATCATTTTAGGTTGCCCAGTGCGGAGCCGTTGCCAGTATGTGAGTGACAGGTGATTATGCAAAAGGTTGCACGGCCGTGCAGCTGCATAATCAGCGTACAGCTCTGATCTTTGAGCTACAGGTGGTGTGCTCGCTGCCTGCATTACCTAGTGAAATGACGCGCAAGTTGACTGAATTTGATTTTTCCTGTGGCTTTAAAAGCGCAACGATTCCTCTCATGATGTGGTAGGTTCAAAGGCAGTGCTTGTAAGCGACGACGCATCACACACAAATCCTCAGAAGTCTCAGGAATGATCACTGTCGGAAGCTTGAAATTGTAGATCAATAATGACGCAATGGCCCAGCTGGTACCCCAGTACGTGGCTACGGAATGTGGGCCGTCCACCGCGCCAGACCCCATGTGCATATTTGCAGGCTTTTGCTATTTTGGTTTTGGCTGCTATGATGCCACTGGCGGTGTGTCTTGCGTTTATTTCGCCTGGCGCATTCTTTGAAGCAATCCGTGATGCAGGAGTTACAGGTCTTTGGTCAGTTGGAAAACATTTAAGATTCTATTTCTACTCTTGTGTTTCTTTTGTCATGACTGCCTGTAGCTGAAAGATTTCCTTGCAAATTGCTCATCAACTGAGGTACCTGCGGACGTGGCAGCCAGGTAATCCTGATCTCGTCATGGTGCTCGGGCACTCTGTATTGCGTCGGGAGTGAGCAAGCCATACTTCTCTGGGTGCCATACATGATATATGTGCAGTGCAGTGCACCAGGCCGGATATGCACGGCTAGCTCTGCACGCCTCGCCCTCTCCTTGGATTGATGCTAACCCATGTGTGGACTGGTTGCTGTGACATACCCATGTGTGGACTGGTTGCTGTGACATACCCATGTGTGGACTGGTTGCTGTGACATACCCATGTGTGGACTGGTTGCTGTGACATACCCATGTGTGGACTGGTTGCTGTGACATACCCATGTGTGGACTGGTTGCTGTGACATACCCATGTGTGGACTGGTTGCTGTGCTGCAAAGATTCATGGTACTAGTAACCTACTAAGATGCATGAACGGACACATGCCAGCACATGCTACAAATCACACCAGCAAGTGTGCCAGCACATGCTACAAATCACACCAGCAACTGTGTTTGTTTTAAACCTAGGCTAGCATCATTCCTTTCGGTACATGTAGGCCGCACCATGCTCAAGGTTGTTTTGCATTGGCTTTTCTACCGACGCATGGGCACGGGAAATGGTGCTAGATTTTATTACCCTATAGGAATGTTCTAGGTACCGACTGCAGCAATGCGCATTGCTTGACTAAAGAGGAAACATAGGATGTACTTGTTTTGACTCTGTGTTTTGGGAGGAACTGGATTTGCATAATTATCAAGATATAATAGAAGTATCTTTTGATCTTTATGCTACAGTGAAATTATTACAAGTATTCTTGTGCAAAACATAGTAGAATGAATGAATGGCTAAATGTCATTTACATCCAACATCAAGAAGGGAGCTTCACTTAGTAATTCTAATTCCTCATTCGTGTGTGCGTGTATATCTTTTTACTATGTTGATAACTTAGTTATTGGATGTCCAGCTTTGCGATTTTCCGTATTTTTCTCCTGGCACTCTAAGCCACGTTCTGATTTAGACGCAAGCAAATCTCGAGGCTGTGCTTGACGGACATGATTATTCACTTCATAATTCAGCATCTCAATACTAGTATCCTCCTTGGTCTCCGAATCGCTGCACAATGTCGTCGTTGTGTGGATTGCGTGCTGGTAGCCACTTTGGCTTAGTCTGCACGATCTTGTTCCAGAAGACCTGTGTCGCTAGGGCATTGCCTATCTGGTTGGCGTGAAACCCATCCACGGGCTCGATCAGCTGCCACGGCTGGCCGCCCTGCTTAGACCAGATGTCGGCCGCCGATTGGATGTCATACTCCATGTACATTGTGTCAAAGTTGCTGAACGTCTGGGTGTCGGCGATTTTCTTCAGCTGTGCGTTGAGCTGAAAAGCATGCTCTGAGGTGATATTGCGCCAGGTTTCGTTCTTGTTCATCCATCCCCAGCACGGCGATACGCCTAGACAGTTCAGATAGGTGTAGAAGTCCGTGTAGGTGACATCGTTGCGCAGTGCGCCAAGAGGGTGAGTGCGCGCATGCATGTTGTCATAGAGAAACCGCCCATCGGCCAGACCGACCAATACGACATGTGAACCCTTGTTCAGGCTGGCGTCGATGATTTTCAACGACTCCATTTGCGCCTTGTAATACTCCTCTGGTGTGGTCATATGACCGGTCCCTGGATGGCCATTGCATACATCATTGCCGACGAGTTCAAATATCAGTAGCAGCGGCGGTGTCTCTGCATTCCGTGGACTCAGTGTAGATGCTATTTCCTTCGCCATGGATGTGGAACGGGCACCGTTGACGCCCGCATTCTGGAAGTCACGGTGGTTGCATCGGTTGAGCTCCACGTACCGCTGGTAAAGGGAATCCATTGGCCCCTGGATTTCTGGACTCCAGTTGGAGGCGTTGTAGTGCCCTGTGGCCATGCTCAACTGTGGCCAGTCCAGTTCATTTGTCAGTGCGAAAATTGCATGTTGAAATGCCTGTTGAAACACAGGAGCACGTACACGTGCACACACACACGTACACACCTTTTGGCCTTTTTACACCATAGCAACCTGTGCTGGGATTGCACCAATCAACAGCTCGCCAAGCTGAAGAAATGATCGCCTCTATTCAGCCTGGTCTACTCTACACAGTTATTAGAAATGGTTTTTTTCAATCTTGTCTGGTTCAGGATTACGATTGTGCACACCTGTGCCGAAATGGCGTAGACACCAAATTCTTGTGATCCCAAATTTTGGTTGCGGCAGTGCTACTTCCCGCAGTGATATGTAAATCCAGAGACTAATTAGACTTCCACTTTGCCACAGACTACACTGCCACTGAGTCAGATTAGAACCTGGTGTTGGTTTCCATGTCACATGGTGTACCATAGATAGATAGTAGTGATGTAACGAACCATGAATTTTACAAACGAATAATCTAGCGAATACCACTCGAGAGAAACAAACGGTTATTCTACTACAGTATTCCATAAGACAATTATCAAAAACTATTGCCAATGCCAAGTGTACATGTGCATGTAGCAAACACACAACACAAGCGTTCAGACTCGAGTCAGACTCGAGTCAGAGTAGAGTCTGCCATGGTCTACCGTGCGTAGTCGACAACATTGTACTTGTAGTGGTTGTCTGCAACACAGTACAATGTGCGTAGTCGACAACATTGTAGTGGTTGTCTGCAACACAGTACAAAGTTTATGCATTCAAGTCGAGAGATCTAGAGTCGCGCACGGACTTCGCCCGCCCGCGAATATTCGAACTTTCGACCTAGATTTTATCCGATCGATTATTCGTTGAGGTCCAAGAGATCGAGGAAATTCGAATAATCAATTATTCGTTACATCACTATTAGATAGTGGTCTTGTCACGCTGTCTTTCTTTCGCCGTTACCATGGTTACTACTTCGAGTAGCTTTGTCTTCAGAGCATTTGCCGATTTGGAGCTTTTATGAACAGTTTCAGAGAGACTTGTACATGCACACCCTCCTCAGTACAGTTGGATTTTACTTGCAACCTCCGACTCTGTTGGTCTATTGTTCCAGAGTGTGCAGCTTCGGTGGGGCTTTTTCTGTATGGGTGTCTTTTTTTTCTTTTCTTTTTTTACTGGGAGCACAGCCCTACAAAGAGACATGTGGAGACAAACACAAAACAAGACACAAGGGGTGTAGGGACGACGTGCCGATGTACAGGGAGCAACTTGACCGACCACAGGTCTCGGCGTTAGCGTTGCAACCTGGCATCGAAAAGGGGGGGGGGGGGGTTCTATCGTGGCAAAATTCCGGGATTACTAGTACCAAGAGTATATACCCCCCCCCAAGAGTGTGCAAAACCGAATTTACGACCATCGACCGCCAAGCAGACCGTATCTCCGAACAATGGAGAAACACAAAAAAGCTGGGATCCCTGCTGACCTGACGACCGGCTACAGAGGCCGACCGAGAACAGAACTGCCAACGGTCCTCCACAATTATCTGACGAGTATCGGGAGGTCGCTCAACAACCGTACAGACCTCTGCAGATTGCGTGAAATTGCGCGCACGAGATCCGGGTGACGTCAACTGGTTAATGACATCATCGACAAGAAATATGTGTACCACTGAACAGGTCTAAATTACTTATGGCTACTTGCAATGTGCTAGTGCTGCACCAGCGTGTTGCATTGTTAGTGTCTTTGAATAGTATGCGTATGATCAAGTGTTTGTTCACCTATATTTTTCCCTTTTTCGTTTTTGGTTTTGCTTTCTTTCTCTGTTTCTCCCCTTCTCTTCTGGTATCATGTCTAACATTGGGCGTGGCCCAAGCGAAGGCTAGGCTAACGCCGATGCCAACGCGAAAGGGCTGATGATGAAGAGTGTGCAACTCTGCATATGGGGTCTCCGACGGCGAAAACTCACACCACGTGTCTCAGATGCGTTTGTACTATGTACAAACGAAGGATAGCGTGCGCGCAATCCGAATAGGCCTTATGCACGTTGTACAGATGCACGAAATCCCGTAGAATCTCGTATACCGTATTATCTCTAATATAAGCACAGTCTCCAATAACACGTCTCCAATAATAGAACACCTTGGGGCGGCATTCAAAAAATAAAGTGCTCAGTCTCCATTATAAGCACACTGTGAAGTGCCCACTGTGAAGTGCTCTGAAAACCACCCGGGCCTCCAATAAAGGACACGGTACGGTAGTATATGTACGCACATTGCATGTACATGTACATGTTATCATGGTCAGTCGCTCGATCGCGCGCGGTGCACCAACCTAATGAGGTTGAAATATTAATGGAACAGTCTCCAATAAAGGAACGTCTCCATTAATAGCACGGGCGGAGGTACATTGAAAAAATAAAGGACCGTGCTTATATTAGAGATAATACGGTATTCTTGTAGAATCCCGTAGACCCGGTTGGGTGTTGAATGTGCAGGACCCTATTGTGTTTACTGCTATTTTCACTATGAAATGGGCCATGAAGGCATTTCAAACGAAAACGTTTTCTGGCAGAGATCTAGCTAGTCGTTAGTTCAATCCCAAAATAAAGAAGCTGGAAAAGCGATCGTTTGCCATGAATTGTGAGGCTAAATGGGCCAAACGTGCATGTATAGCACACAATGAACACCCAACCGGGTATGTACACACCTACGGCCCTAGTACAGAACTTCGTACATCTGTACAACGTGCATAAGGACTATTTCTGCCAGAATCATGCTGGGGATTTGCATACCCGCAATGAGTTTCTGTCAGCCCGGCCCGGCCCAGCCCAGCCCAGCCCAGCCCAGCCCAGCCCAGCCCAGCCCAGCCCAGCCCAGCCCAGCCCAGCCCGGCAGTTTCACACGTTGGGTTTCATGTACATCTACACTGTACATGATTGTAGACCCACGTCTCCGTCTCTTCACGTCTCTTCACGTCTCTTCACGTCTCTTCACGTCTCTTCACGTCTCTTCACGTCTCTTCACGTCTCTTCACGTCTCTTCACGTCTCTTCACGTCTCTTCACGTCTCTTCACGTCTCTTCACGTCTCTTCACGTCTCTTCACGTCTCTTCACGTCTCTTCACGTCTCTTCACGTCTCTTCACGTCTCTTCACGTCTCTTCACGTCTCTTCACGTCTCTTCACGTCTCTTCACGTCTCTTCACGTCTCTTCACGTCTCTTGACGTTTTCGAAGTGCGTTTCCATTTCGTTCCATTTCGGGGTGCGTTTCGTGCGTTGTCGTGTAAACGATAGTAGAAATTTACTACTAGAAAACGCAACGATTTCGTACCGTTTCAGTCGTTGTCGTGTAAACGCAGCCTCATACAGGTGAAATTCATCATGTATGCGGTGTGTACTAATAATAATATTACAGTATAAAAACCGGCGCATGTCCTTACCAACTCATTCATTTCAGTGACGTTGAGCCATGCTGGTGGGATGTGGAAGTGAGCACCAATGCTGTCACCCAGCAGCGCTACGCCAGACTGCCCAGTGCCATTGCACCACATGTCCTCGTAAGTCTTGCCTGTCTCATGATCCACACCGCTGATTCCGTTGCAGTTGCTGTCGAATAGCTTGTCGCCATCACGGGCTTTTCTTCCTGGGTGCACATTGCTACTCACATCATCACAGTCTTTGCCGCGCCATGACGAACCGCGTGCACTGGCCAGATCCGAATACCGATCTTTGTCCAAATCATCCGCTGGAAGGTGCTCCTCCGTCCAACGTTCAATGATTTTGCAGACTTCATGGAACACGGGAAAGTCGCAGAAGTTAGGGAATGCACCGGTTGTGACAGTGTTCAACAGTTCATTCAGCTCTTTTTCTCTCGCCAGCTCCTCCGCGCGCCGCCGCAGTGCGCTGATATGGTCACTGCGTTGCCGTCTCGATGATGCATGTTGAATGGACGGTGGCAGCGGAAAGACGTGACACATATCCGTTCCCGCTGGTGTCTTGCAAAATCCTATGGCGTGGCACACGACGTCGGAGGTCTCTTTGCTCTCCAAGAATTCCACAACAGCGGGACCGTATGTCTTGGCCAGGTAGTCGCACGGACCGTGGAGGTCTTTGGGAAGGTAACCACATAGCTTATCGATTGCTTCCACCACTGTTGCGTTGTGCAGCTGAGAAAGTTGCTCGACCAGGCCGACCATGATAGCACAGCCCGCACAGGCTGAACCACCTGTGTCGTCGGCTAATCTAGTTGCCTGTGCTCCACCAAGCAGTGCTCCGAAGAGGCCATCCCTCCGTAGAGCGCCTGATGCACCTACACTGATTGACAATGTGCAACTAGCGAGCAGGAACGCGTAAACCCAGAATAGTTTGGCCATGATCCTTTTTCAATGAGAGGTACTTAGTAAAGTTCACACGTCGTTCGCGCTACCACGAGCTTGTTGAGAAAATACAACCAGCTAGTTGTTTCGCTTGGCCTTGGGAGGCTTTTGTCCTAAATGGAGACTAGGAAGGATAGGTACAAATATGTCCCTACCGGACTCTGCGGATTTTGAAATTGAAGGAGCGTTATCACCATGATCACGTGTTGTAAAAATCCGACGAGGAAGCAGACTTGATTGACGGGATCCCGGACTGACCAATCATCATGAGTCATGATGCATCATACAGCGGTGTTGTTCATGATGCATCATACAGCGGTGTTGTTGTCGGGTGCCGAAGAACGGAGCGCTAACTAGTATAACAATAATGATGGCTGTGAATCATTGGAGGTCCATCGTGCATGCGTGAAGTCTTACTTTTAAAATAGTAGTACAGTACAGAGAGGCACTCACACTCACACTCACACTCACACTCACACTCACACGCACACCATACAACTACTTACAAGCAATACTCCGGGCCATGACTGGCAGGTGGCCCGGGGCCCATAGGCATAGCTGTATCACTGTCTTGGTTATCACGTGTCCTACAAGAAATGAACAGAACATTTCGCCGTACATGACTGATTGTACATGTACAGGAGTTCGTTTAATATAAATGGAGTCAACTGTACATAATTATCTCCCTGAATGCTATACAGCATGCATGGTCCCACAGCATGGTGTCAGAATGGTTCCAAGTGACCAAATCCTTGAAGCACCACACTGCTACGGAGCTATGGCCACTGAAGTACAGCCAGTACATGCAGCACACTGAATCAACTACATGTCAGTATGGCTGTATGGCTGTATGGCCATAGTGACTTGACTGATGAGCACACTGAGCCGCATGATTCCACTCACCAGTCTACATAATTATATGTCACAGAGTCACTCTATGTCACAGTCAAACTGCAATTATGTCACATAGTCACTCTATGTCACAGTCAAACTGGAACTATTCGCGTCGAATTCATAGTAGAAACAGGGTAAAATCTATATAGAAGAATTATATCAAACAGGCCATTGGAAACAAGTAAAACCATAAATAGACTGGAAAATTCAAATTTGTAAATTGTGACTTAGTATCATGGTATAAATGAATATTTCATGGTTTGATATAATTATTGTGTAACGACTAGGGACTGGAGGACTAGTAAGTTAGTTGCCCAAAGGTTGAATCAGCATGATTACATTATATCGACCGTGAATTTGACAACAGGTTTTCAGACCCTGCTTGAGCCATGGCCATTTGATGTACACCACTCCCGGTCTCATCAATTGGTATGCATGTCCACCAGTCGGGACATGCATAAACAAACTCTAGCAGTCCTGCCCAGGTACTTTCATATAGCCACAGTGGCAGTCACGAAGGAAATTGTTCTTGGACCGAAAGAAACACACGGTCTCTGATGGTGTTTGTAGGATACCGCTACGGTAATTGTGCACCACAGACGTGGCAGTCATCGCGATTGACTCGGCTTTGAAAGCGAGATCAATAGCCACCTTGATCTCCAAACTTGCCGACAATATCAGCATTGTGCGGATTCGCAGCCGGCACCCATGCTGGTCGCTCCTGCTGAAAAAGCTTCCACAGGAGTCCAGCGGTCAGGGAGTTACTCAGTTGATTAGCATGGAAGCCGTCCACAGGCTCCACCAGCTGCCAGGGCTGCTTGCCAAACTTAGCAGCTTCTTTGGCGGCTGCGTTGATGTCATACATAGTGTACAGGACGTCAAAGTTGTTGAATTTCTCCGTATCGGCTATTTTCTGCAGCTGTGCATTCAGCAGCTCGGCATGCTCCGTTGTGGCGTTCCTTATGGATTCATTAGAATTCAGCCATCCCCAGCAGGGAGTGACGCCAAGACAGTCGAGGTAATCATAAACATTCTGGTAGGTGACGTCACCGCGGAAAGCACCGAGGGGATGAATTCTGGAGTGCATGTTGTTATACAGAAAGCGCCCATCCACCAAGCCAACCAGGAGAATGTGAGAGCCACGAGGCAGAATCGTGTCCAGGTATCTCAACGTCTTTAGCTGTGCATCATGGTACACATCTGGTGGTGTCATATGACTGAAGTCTGGGTGGCCACTACACACATCGTTACCCACCAATTCGAGCATTATCAGCAGCGGCTGATCGCGTGTTTGCTGACGGGAGAGTGTGAGAACAATGTGATCAGCCATGGCCGTGGCACGAGCACCGTTGACGGCAATGTTCTGGTAGTCACGGTGATTACAGCGGTTCAGTTCAAACATGCGCTGGTAGAGTGAGTCCATGGGTCCGTGGATCTCATCGGGCCACCGGCTAGAATTGTAGTGCCCAGTAGCAGTGCTGAGCTGCGGCCAGTCCAGTTCGTTAGTCAGGATGTATAGAAGATTGGCAAATGCCTGCCAAAAACGCACACGCACGCATGCACACCACACACACAAACACACACACACACACACACACACACACACACACACATGCATGCACACACAGTAAGATAGCAGCCGACATAATATTGATATTGGGCCGCGTAGCAGATTAAGCCAATACGACTGCCATCATTCACTAGACAGAATTCTACAGTACATTTAAATGATGCTCTTACGTGGATATCAAGCTTCCTACCAGCCAAGAGTCAAGCTCGGCAGGAAGCTTCAGCTCAATGTATAGGAGCAACCAACTAACTTTGTCCACTTTTGCCACCGGAGTCGCTACTTCTAAGTTTGTACAACAGATGAGTAATGAGTTAGCTGAAGGTGCAATGAATGAATGACTAACCTTTTCACTCAGTTCAGTGACATTCATCCATTCTGGCGGAATATGAAAATGTGCACCAATGCTGTCACCAAGCACAGCAGTTCCGTACCTCACACTGCCATTGCACCATAGATCCTCATACGTGTTTCCAGCCGAGTCTGAGCCTAGGATGCCATTGCAATTACTGTCGGCCATTGCATCACCATCCACTGCTTGTCGCCCAGGATGAGTATCGCCGTTGGAATCATTGCAGTCTTTACCGCGCCATGCAGAGCCGCGGGCAGTTGGCAACATAGAGAACCCATCCAGGTCAAGATCATCAAGCGGTCGGTTGTCATTCGTCCACCTCTCCACAATCTTACAAATTTCTTCTATACCTGGCAATTTGCAAAAGTCTACCAAGGCTGAGCCGACCGTTGCCGCCTGACGTACTGCTGAATTCTTGTGCATTCTTGCTCTTTGCACGTATCCTGTGTGTAGTGTTTGCACGTGCTCAGAGAGCCTATCGGGTGCCATGTGCTGCAAAGCTGATGGCAAAGGGAATATGTGGCACATGGGCTTGCCGGCTGGTGTTTTGCAGAACCCAAGGGTGTGGCAAATCACATCAGGTGTTTCTTTCTTTTCCAGGGCCGCAATCACTTCCTCAGCGTACATATTCACAACTAGTTGACATGACGTCTTCAAGCTACCCAGGTAAGTGCACAGTTTGTCTAGAGCCGCCTCCACCGTGCTATTATCGAATTCAGCTAGCTGCTCAACAATACCAATGATTATTGCACATCCCGCGCAGTTTGATCCACCGGTGTCGTCAGAAACATCCGTTACATCCGTTGCTCCGAATAAGCGAGCGAACAGACCTGCTGGTTTGGCAGTGGCAGGTACTACCACCAGCACAGCCACTAGTAGTAAAACTAACATATTCATTAGTCCCAACCTTCGCTCCATCCTTGATGTAGTTCACCAGTGGTCAAATTCTCTCCAAGTCGGCAGTCTCTGCCTGAGTCACTGTGACCGTGAGTGGTTGCTTCAACAAACAACTACATGTACATGTACATGAAGTACATTCTCTACCACATACAGCTCTGCGCGAATAGCCACGACTCCCGACGTCCCTGGCCTGAACGCACATGCAGACACGTGACCGATGTTCTATGAGTAGATCTACTGCCCTGGTCAGGCTGGTGAGGTTGCACGTTGGGCAGGATGTTGATGCCTAGCACCCGCAGATTGATGGCGTGAGGTGTGTCATGCTCATAATCACAGAAAGGCTCCCTTTTAATTACTGTATAACACCTTTATTTCGGTGTAATTTAAATTTCGGTAACTTCGGTACTGGTCCTGGATCACCTAATTTAACATTACACCTAAATTTTCCAAAATACCAAAAATATGTAAAATCATGAAAATCACTGTCAAATTAAAAAAATCAACTTGTATAGTACATTGTACATACATGTATACATATGTGGAGCCTAGCCGGAGATATTAGTGCAAGAGCGTTTTTTTGTTTTGTTTTTTTTTGTTTTTTGTGTCATGCATACCGAATTTATCCTTACACCGAAAGGTCAGCGGTTGGCTTTTACCGAAATTTTACAACACCGAAAATAAGGTGATATACAGTATGTAGAATCTACATGTACATGTACATGCCATTATGTACTTAGTCGAGTCCGGAATAGAAGGATCCATCCAGGAGTTCAAGGGAAGCAAGACGACGTTCGAAGGACATTTGGCCATACATGGCCTTGTTCAGGTTGTTGTATGCAGGTTGTTGTATGCAGTGTTTAGACCCTATTCCCCCTATTTGTAGACTGTTGTAGATAGACCATGTAGAATCCCCTCTCCATAAGTACCGTAGTTGTATTAGAACGAGGTCTGCCTCGTTGTCCAGGAGACGACCAATCAGCCACGTTCTCGCCAAGGGCCTTATCAGCCGCTCGATCGTAAGTTTTACTTCTCTTGATGACGCGCTCAGGGCCACACGCCCGCTGAATGATTATGTACTCTAAAACACTAAAACATGTTTTTTTTAAGGAAAAAAGAGAAGAAACACATGAGAACGAGTTACATGTATGCAGCAACTATCCACGAGGACCACGACTGTAACAAGATGATAAACGGTCAGAAAGTGCGATAATAGGGCACAAAACTGACAGGCTACTGAGACATTCAGCGACCCGAGACCTAGCTCTAACACATCTCCAGTGCGCAAACCAACAGCCTTCCAACTTGGAAGGTTCATGGTTACGTCGCTGAATCGCTGAATGTCTCAGAATGCTGAATGTCTCAGTAGCCTGTCAGTTTTGTGCCCTATTAGCGCACTTTCTGACCGTTTATCATCTTGTTACAGTCGTGGATAGTTGCTGCATAACTCGTTCTCATGTTGTTGTTGTTGTATTCTTTTATTTCAATTCGCTCAGGGCACAGGCAATGTTACCTTCTCACCGGAGAGAGGATTCTCCGATTCCTACCAAAACGAAAAATCTGCGATATGAATATGTATGAGAAAGATACACAGGAGGGAGTTTGGAAGCTTGTCACAACTCCGAGTTTCACGTATCTCTACGATCATCAGGCAAAACTCTCTCTTGTGTACAAAGCTCTGCCCTACATGGGCATTGAGCACTCTTCGGACAGTGAAGCACACCACTTGACTATGAGAAAGATATGAGAAAAATGAATAATGATGATGTCGGATTACGATAGTTTAGTTGTTATGCGAGATTTCCCTGACGATTACAGATAAAGCGTTTCTGGAGGCAAATGTCCAGAAAGGATGCGAGAACAAAAATACAGCGTTCCGGAAGGCAATGGTGCACATACATAGAGCATAAGGCAATGGTGCAGAAAAGAGGTGAGAACTTACAAACAAGGCAATCGTGCAGAAAAAGAGGGAACTGAAGAACTAGCGGTTCTAGAGGCTAAGACACAAAGAGGTAGGGACCAGCGACTCAATACAGTGTCATATCGTGCTCTTGAATTCATCCTTTTGTGATACACATCTAACTTCAGCCGGCAACTTATTCCAGAGAATAGCACCTTGGAAACGGATGGAGGACCGTCCAGCAGGACCCGGAAGGAAGGGGACACGTTTAAGAGCCATGTCACCTGTCTGCGAGTGGCCCTTCGGTCATGATCTTCTTGAGAAGGTGCGGTTGGGGTGAAGAAAGACGAGAACAAGTGACTTGACAGAGAGTGCAGGTAACGGAATACAAACATGAGGAGCTTTCGCTGAAACAATCTCTCAATGGTGGACAATGAGAGTCTCTCTCGTAGCGGCTGAGTCGCGATCGGGTTCTGCAGTCGTAGGATTGCTCGAACCCCTGACTTCGCCGATCTTTCGAGCCGAGTGAGACCAGCGGCAGACAGCGAGGGGAAGAAGGCGTTTGCGGCGTAGCACAGCTTGGCTTGTATCATGGCAACATACCATATCCGGCGGGCCGTGATGCTAAGTGCATCCCCATGTCGCCGTAGACGACTTACGGCCTTCCCTGTCTGGCTAGCAAGGTGTTGGATGTAGGACCGCCAGCTCAGGTTGTCGAAAATGACACCAATATGGTATTTTGCGGATGACACTGTGGCAAGCTCATCTCCATTGCAGCAGACGCGATCGACTGGATCTTGTTGCCCTCGAGGCTTCAAAAACATTACTTGGGTCTTCTTCTTGTTCAGAAGAAGAGTCTCCAAGCCATTCCGCTAGCGCGGTTACTGCGTTCGAGAGGAACCGCACAACAAGTGCTACATTTGCGTGTGAAAATTCTATTACGATGTCGTCAGCAAACTCCTGATGGGCGATAGCGGCTGGAAGGATGTCGCTAATGGCTCTAGTATATAATACAAATAGGAGGGGGCCAAGGACACTCCCTTGCGTCATGTGTTTCTTCTCTTTTTTACATGTATTACTGGCTCAGTATCCGAGTTTAATTTATAATAGCCTGCATCTGATTGTGGGTTGGCAAGTGACTTTTAATAATAGCTGATTGGCACGGTACATTTTTTTAAATTTTTTATCGGTTCCTATAATGGATTTGGTAACTATTTTTATCTGCTTGGTTTTCACATTTTGCATCACAATTTGTGGTTTTCCTGAATAAAGCTTCGAGTCACTACTACTACCGGTACTACTAATATTACTACTACAGTACTACCGGTACTACTAAAAAACCTTACTACTACTACTACTACTACTACTACTACTACTACTGACCAAACCACTTTTACGGGCAAAAAATACCATGGTAAGCACACAAGTGATGGAAGAGAGTGAGTAAGAACGAAAGAGAGAAAGAAAGAGAGAATGCACTAGTATGTCAAGAGAAGTAATCAATTGTTAAGGTCTTTGAGCTATTGTTATATTGTCCAGATTGACGCATGGACACTGAATCTCAGCCGGCAGCCTGTCGACACTGCACCAACAACGACGAGCGGACGCGACGCTGGTAGGATGATCGGCAACCGCGAAAGCAGGTTATTGCCCACCGTACGAGGCAGAATGCCAGCCGAACACGCAATGCACTGACGATGCTTGAATACCGGATGTCTTTATTGCGCTCCGCGAGCCGACCGGCAAGTGTCGCCAGGAATCGTGAGCACTCCGGCCCCGCCATCCCATTCGTGGCGAACACAAGAGGGGTGAAAGAGCCTCTCTCGACTTCAGTGACCCTGGCACCGTACTGCTGCTTCTTTTGCCGTTCATGGGCCCTGAGTTGGTTAAGGACTTCTGGACCAGACAGCACAGACGCCTTAGGGTGGGTTACTACTACTACTACTACTACTACTACTACTACTACTACTACTACTACTACTACTACTACTACTACTACTGCTACTACCTTCGGTATTCATTCATATGTTGGCCTATTTAACATTGGCATGCTCTGCGGATTTGTAGGCATGCTAGGCAATTTAAATATTATCCTGCAAAGTATTTTGTAGGTGCTTGACTACTATACTACGTCATGTATTACAATTGGTACATGACTTAATAATAGCCGTTTGGCATGGTACAATAACCTTTTTTGTTTTATTTTTTATTTTTAATGGCTTTCTCTTCTTCCTCGGATGGTTTACAATTTGTATCGCAATTATTTGTGGGTTCAGCAATAAAGGATGTGACTACTACTACTACTACTACTACTACTACTACTACTACTACTACTACTACTACTACTACTACTACTACTACTACTACTACTACTACTACTACTACTACTACTACTGAAATGTGTTTTTATTGAAAGCACAAAGCAATGAAGATGTGAATGCAAGGAGGGCAATGAATTCAAAAGGCGAACAGCAAAATTGTAACAAAAAAGAAAGATAACAAATATTAATGGCAACAGCAATGTTTATACATGAAAAAGGGGAAGGAAAAGGAAAGAAAAACATCCAAACCAGAACTGCTTGAACACCGCCAGAAATGAAACCGAGATTCATACAAAAGAAAAAACTTCAGAACACCGGAAAACAAACTTTAGATCACATTTTGACATTATACGAGATGATGACAACGAAAAACTATGCCCTAGAGAGCACACGGCAGTCATTCACAAAGCTCGCCGAGCGCTTAGAGCGATAGGAGGACCTAGAGCCACGTAAACAGGTGATACACCAGCGAAGTAGGCAGAATGACAAACGGCATCGCAAATGATTGACAACAACAGAATACACCAAATCAGCATTTTTCTCTAGAATACGGCAAACCAATGCCTTCAAAAACACGGAACACTCCTTCCCTATCATGCCGTTGGTCGCAAATACCAGAGGGGTGAATGTGCCCCGATCGATCTGATTCACTCGCTCTGCGTAATGCCGCTTTTTTTCCCGCTCATTGCGCTCCAATTGGCTCATGGCTTTTTCACGAGACAGCAAGGTGGCCCTGGGATGCGTTACCCGGATATCGAAGAAGGCCTCCTGCTGCCGCGTCCAAAAGCCACGAGCCCTGACGTCAAGCCGCGCTTCCTGGGATCGGTTAGATGTTGACCATGTTGACCATGCCAATGTCTCACCACCAC